AGGCAAAAAGAATAGTAATATGGAAAAACAATATAGCTTCATTGGAAATTATAAGTCACAAGGACTGGATGCATCTGCATCAGCCATCGAGAACTATGAGTTTGAGCCATATCATCAATTGTCTGCAGTCAATGGTTTTTATCGACCCGGGGACTCCAACCAGTCAGGAAGTCTACACCTCCCTACTTGACTGGTTAGCTTAAACTAACTGTTATGGATTTCATTGACTGATGAAGCCATGTTTTGGTTTGACCGCCGCTGGCTCTTTTCCAGCCTGACCCTATGTCAGCTAACATTGCCTGTCTGTCGAGGAAGGCGATAGCTAGGCACACGTAACACATGTCCTAACCATCTCAATCGATGTAATTTCACAGCCTCGTCGACTGATTTCCCCTCCTTACCTAGCACTCGACGCCTAACCTCAATATTGCTCACCTTATTATACCACTTCACACGGGAGATAGAAGGCACGAAACTATAATCAAAGACAGCTAACTGAGCTATTCATGTCTTCCACTTTCAATGGCCACATCTCGCTCACAACGATAAAGGAGGACGGTGCGCACTACTGAGCAGTACACACACCCTTTGATCGGTAGCCAACCAGATATCACGACTACTAAGCCAGAGACGGCGTAAACTGGCATATGCGAAACTAGCCCTCTGTATCCGTGCTGAGATTTCGTCAGCGATCAACCCGTTGGCGTTGGCTGATGCAACTTCCCAAATAAGTGAAGTGGTCAACACGCTCCACCAACCACTTCACTCCCTATTTCTAAGCTAGGAGTCAGTGTAGTCCAGTCCTGTAACATCATCTTACATTAGTTGAAAGCTAATAAGCCACATTTCCATAGAGAAGCAAGTATTAAAGAATGGTGATAACAAACGTAAACTAAGCTAGATGGATTACTACTAGTGTCTACGCTGTTTTGGCAAGCTCTTTTTACTGATGTTCTACACATTCTTGAAAGGAAGCACTAAATGACACGTCAATTTGTGATCAACAAAACAAATAGAGTTCAGCGAAGAGGTTCTTTCCGGAGAATTCATTCTCCGATCTAGCTTTAACACAAAAGTGATGAGTTGTCACAATCATAGTTGTTGTTAATATTAATCAATGCATAGGAGTTAAATAATAGCATTAAAGTTAGGCAATCAGATGAATAATTGAATGAATGAGTGTTAGTCAGAATGCACATAGAAAACGAAGAAAAATGTTACGTTGCGTAAGAGTTCAGGAGAAATACAAGGATTAAAAGGGGTCAAGGACACTATCCCGCTTTATGATGGCAGAAAGGCAGCAGTGACCCTATAAAGATTGCGATAATTGCACACCCCGTCAACATTGGTCTTCCTATCTAAACAAACTCCGCTTTCAAATTAATCTACAAAGTAAAGGACAACCTACCAAAAACAACACACTTTTGCTCTCTTTTGCATTTCTGAAGCTCTAGGCATACAGATAGAGAATCCCAGAGCTCAGAATACAAAAGAAAAATTATTCAAACACTTCTACTATTACGGTAACAACCTTGTTGATTTCTACTAACTTGATTGTTGTTTGTTTGAACTTCAACCCTATAACTCTCAGGTAACTTCATATTTGCCTTCGTTTCTGTGTGCATGCTGATTACACAACGCATTCATAACATTATTTATCTCATTACGTAACTGCAATATCCTTATTCAACTCCTCTTATGCATTGATTAATATTAACACCTATGATTATGACAACTTATCAGTCTTGTTACTATCTCCCATTCCATGAGAAATTGTATACTTTTATGTAGTTGTGTTCTCTGATCTGGATGGTTTACTTGCGAAGCTTTCATTATTGTCCTGCTAAGCAACATCTTCAGCGCATACACTTCAATTCCGTGAAGTGAGCTTTTAGATTCCTCCACGAGTTCACTGTAAGTCATCTCTTCTGGTGACCTTGAACGTGATTGGTTGATTTTGTGCGTTTCCACACCCTCTAGTCTATTTGCATTGGTACTGATTGTTTCTTTGACCTGAAGTTCGACACTTTGTGTGTGAAATTTTCTTCTTATCGATTGATAGATTTTGTTTATATCAATGTGTATATGTTAACTGACGATTCAATAGAATACCAGACTTCTAAAAATTCTCTGGCATTCTTGGTGTTTCCTCTGTCTAATATTTCAACGCTGTTTACCGTCTCTATTTTACATTTCTTCTACTTTCTTCTCTTGCTTTGTGTGCTACATGGAGTGTGGCGACTTGAACTGCTGCACATCGGTGCAAAGTTCTATGTTGAAAACAGACAGACAGACCTGTCCCAATCGAACTGATATCCATGGTTGTCTGTATGCAGCGATATCGCTGCGACAACGTTCGAATATTAGACAGAGGAAACACCAAGAATGCTAGACAATTTTTAGAAGCCCGGTATTTCAGTGAATCATCAATCAATAGACATATTGACATAGACAAAATCTACCAGCTGATAAGAAAGAAATCTCATACACAAATGGTCGAACTTCAGGTTAGGGAAACAATAAGTACCAATACAAGTAGTCTAGAGGGTGTGAAAACACAAAAGCAAACTATCACGTTCAAGGTCACAAGAAGAGATGACTTATAGACTAGTGGAAAAATCGAAAGCTCACTTCAAAATGAAGAATGCGCTGAAGATGTTGCCTAGTGTGGTAATAAAAGCTTCACAAATAAACCATCCAGCTCAGAGAACACAACCACATCAAAATCAACCACCTGAGCTACAAATCTTCTCCATTATATCGAAATTGTACATAAATGCGATTGCACCGCCTAACAGGAAACTGAATTCGCCGAAAAAAGACTTTTATTATTGCCTGGATGGAGGTTATTCATGAATTTCAGATCAAACAGATTAGAGTACTGATGATAAATTTTTAATCGTTTTATTTAGATAATTGAATTATGAAAAAGAAGTAACCCGGTCAACGGCATCGTACACACACATTTGAACAATGATACTAAGTATATGTGCGATTGCAGTATCATTACAGTGCACGGTATAACACACACACAACGGTACTGCGTCACATAGTTTATTGATCACTTTTTGTACACCTAATCGATGAATTCTAATCAATATACCTTGGGATTAGTCGACTACATTTATTAGTTTTAATTGATTTTGACTCAAATATGACTCATCATCTGGATGTAACTGCATCCCACCCACCTCCAATGGGTGGTGGTGGGATTCCAACTGAGACTTTGACACGGTGCCCATCATTTATCTACTAAGCTACTGAGTCACAACAGGCACTCATTGTATAACACATAACATGTGAATTCTTTGCAGACCGACTTTATTTAGGTCTAAATGCTCAGTCCCCACTGACATGTCGGTGCCTCCGTACTAGGCACCGAAAACGTTACATCACTGGTGTTGGAGCAGAACCCTGGGACCCATTACGGTTATATTTATTGCTTTAGTTGCAAGACACAGTTATATATACACGTATTTCGTCCAAGGTCGGGGCTCTTCAGCGGTCTGCATCCACAAAGGTTCGAACTCAGATACTTCCGGCTACAAGGCGAACTCGTAGACGTAGAACGGTCAGCCGCTACTGGGACCCAACTCAATGGACTGACTGACTGGTTTCAACATAGTCAGGCTCAATGGTCAGTCTATGAACTCTAACTACTACGAATTCGCGACAGACGTCTGCCAATGTCATCGCTGGCGAGTATCTGTCCTCACTGTCAATCTGCTGGTGAACCCTACTGGTCACGAATACTCAAACTAGAACTCCAAACAACTAGCGAGCATCAGATTAATTTTCAAGTTTGTTTTCCAAGCTCGATCACTGACGGGACGGTTGAGTCAGGGGTCCCCACCAGTAGTTGAATGGTCTACGAGCTTGTCTTGCAACCGGAAGACTCTGGGGATCGGGACCTGGTGGTGGGGACTTACTGTCAATGAGTCCCAAATTAGTGGGGGGGGACGAAACAGCTGTCCAGTTGTAGTATTTCCTGGTTTTCAATAGTTATCTAACTGATATCAATCCATGATCAAATGGCTGGCTGGCTGGCTGGATTCAACATAGAACTTGACACCGAAGTGCAGCAGTTCGAGTTGCCACGTTCCAAATAGCACACAAAGGTAAACCGACCGAAAGCTGCTACCTTGACGTGGTGGTCGGGCTTGAACACCGCAATGACCCAACAAGCTATACTGGCTGAGACTTATGTCGCTTGAGGTCCTACCATGCCAGAAAGGTTGTTTGGATAGCGGTTAGACAAAAAGCAGTTACCTAACCCAATGCTATGACTCAAAGTAAATCACAAAATATCATGCCGGATCGGTCGGGGCCCGGATTAACAACGAACGCGCTTCCTGCTGCCGTGTCACAGGGCAGAAGTGATAAATGTGCTACTGAGACACACAAAATGAAAAACAACAAACAAAAACAGGCCGCGTGTGACCGACCTCAAGCAGTTGTCCCCTGGGCTCTGCGGTCACACAACCAACTTCCACGGTGTGAGCAGCCGCGAAGTAACAATCGCCCTCACAATCCGAAATGCACGCGAAACCATGATCAAATGAGAAAAACAAACTAAATCCCTACATACATACATATATCAAGTGAAACAATGATGAAATGAGTTGTACACAGTGTATTATTATCTATCATCAGTGGTATTTTCTTTTTAAAGACTTTTTACAGAAACGTATTTAACTGCCTTTTTTGAAATGACATGATAAATTTGCTCTCTCTCTCTTCATCTTTACCTAAAAATAGCTGATTGATTAAACTTCATGGCTGTTGTGTGTCTATGATATGCGTGCGTAATGAAGAAAAAATAATGTAAGATTGGAATGCGCTTCGACAAACTATTTAATAGATCAAAAGTATAAAAAATTGAGTTGAAAGTGACAAGAACAACAATCAGATGTGATTTTTTTTTCAAAAAGTGAAGGAGAAATGACAGTTAACAGATTTTTAAATATATATATATTACTGTGAATAGAAGCAATACTTACCGGTAATTGTTCAACATTTTCCAAGAGTAAATCAATATCTTCTTGTGTACGCTCTGAGGTTATTTTCAAAATCGACTCCCAAAAAGCATCACGAATAGACTATTCATAAAAAAGTAAGCAATATCGAAAAGGACTATGTGAGGTAAGAGTTGGTAAGAAAACAAAACAAAACAAACAAAAAAATTAGAAAAAGGCTCAACCAGTGTAACGGAACTAGAGGATGAAGTTGTTGGAAGTTCTGTTTTTTTGGGAGAGGGGTTCCTCCGAATAGTCGCCGATGAAATTGGCTGCTAGTGGTGCTATATGCATCAGGAATCGGTTGAAATTAGAATTCACAGGGGTGGTGGCCATTGGATTCTGTCCCTATGGTTGAATGTGCTCAACGGGCTGGCCTAGCCATCCTGAAGCTCCTGGGTTCGATCCATAGCGATGCGGTCATAGGTGAGTACTGAAAGAGTCAGGCTGGAAAGGAGCTAGTGATGGTCAAACTAAAACATGGCTTCATCAGTCAATCAAATCCATAACAGTTAGTTCAAGCCAACCAACCAGCCACGTAGGGAGGTGTAGACTTCCTGACTAGTTGGGGTCCTCGGGTTAGTAAGAACCAATGAAGGCTGGAGATAATTGGTACTATGGCTCGAAATCGTTGTGCAGATGCATTCAATACTCTTTGTGATTTATCATATCCAATAAAACTCTACTGTTCTACCCTATTACTATTCTTTTCGCCTCATATTTCTGTTTATCCCCCCCCCCCCTTTGGAACTTCTCTTTACTCTCTTCTCTTGCTTTGTGTCAAGAAAAGCACTTCCAACAGGCTACTGTAGACTTTTATCAACAGCTATCGACTTTTGCTGGATCCATATTGAAGATTGAATGGCCAACCAGCCAGAAAGAATTAGCAACAAGAAATTCTGGAAACGAACCAACAGGCAAGAACCTATTGCTCAATAAATCATGCTGAAGAAAGTGGAGATGCGTCGGACATACACTGAGGAGACCGCAGAATGACATTGCGTGCCAACCGGGCCATTTCTCTAGTGGACATCGGGTGGGGAACGACGAGTTTGGCGTCATTTCGAGGTTGACATGGAGGAGATCGTCGTGCGAGGACGAGATCAGAGCCTATGGACAATCATGAAGCCAGCTAATTAATGAGGAAAGCAGAAAATAGGACAAAATGGAGATGTGCTGGTGAAGTCCTATATTCCACTCGGAACCCAAGGGAACAGTAAATAAATAACAAATTTACAATGAAAGACACGGATGATTGGTTTAATACACTCAACTTTCATCCAATTAATTGTGGGTTCGAGTCCCGCCTTAACTAATTCACATCTTGAGTAACTCGATAACCCGCGAACAGTGAGTGCGGCTCATTATACATACGATGAAGACTATCACATACGGTCACATGTAGCTGACATGGCTCAAAATTAAACTCGATGGCACACACATGTATCCACTTTCTCACTGAACTCGTAGATCTGTCAAATTCTCACTATTCAACTTGTTTCTATTCTTTCTGTACCTTTAGGTGTGTGTGAGACATATGGTGATTTGAACTGATGTACTTTTATGCAACGGTATACGTTGAGTTCAATTTCGTTTTTACACAATATAACAGTAGATGAATAGTCAAATAAGGATAGTATTCACTATATTATAAGAATAATGATTTCTTAGTTTAAAAAATTGATTAATACTCATTCAACGTAACTAGGTGCGTCGGTGGCACAGAGGTAGAATGCTCGCCAACCACGCCTTATGTGGTTCGAGGTTCAATCCCCAGCCACTGACGCGCTCCTTTGCCTCACTAAGCTAGTAGTACTAAGACTGGTAAAGAAGGAGGGTTGGGCCTGAGGCCAGTAACCCCTATCCCGTAAAAATAAACCCACTGCTACCGAAACTTCAAGCCTCTAGCTTGAAGTCCTCTGTGTTCCACTGGGAACGTAAAGGAATCAAGGGAAAAGAATTCAACGTTACTGTTTCTGACTTTCAAATTTACAAAATGTAACATTTATCACTGCCTCCCCCCCCCCCCGTGTTGAATGGAGTCCAGGTTAAGCGGAGATTGTTAAGTAAGGAACAAAATTTAGTCGACGAGGTTGTAAATCTACACCTACCGAGATGAATAGCACTCGCGTTGTGCATGCCACCAAGCCAACTCTTGCCTCAACTAGCAATCCTATCTGATACAAGACTAGATTGAAGAAGAGGCTGCGGGTGGTTGAACCAAAACCTGTCACCTATTCATAAAGTCTCTGACTGTCCGTATAGAGCAAGTAGTAAAATGTAGACTGTCTGGTTGGAGTCCTCGGGATGGTAAGAACCAATGGCTGAAGAAAATTGGTGATATGGGTGGAAATCAATCTAAATGGTGCAGATGCATTCACTCGTTGTAATATCCCCCAGATCGACAAAACGCTACATGGAGTATTGCAAGCTGAACTGGTGCACTTTTGTAGAGAGTTCTACATTGAAACTCAGTGAGTCAGTCAGTCAGTCAATCAGAACTTAGTACTGAAAAAGAAGGCATAAATTTCTACCTAGCTATATATAAATTACTAATATTAAACAGGGTTCTGGAACTTCATCCTGATAGTTGAATATCGATTAATCAAAAAGTACAGTATAATGATTTTATTTATATGCAGAACCACATATTTTGTATAATATAGGACGGTAGGTTTAATATGGTATCAAATTACTGAACTATACACACACCTACGCAAAAACACAGAATGACTAAGCTACCCTTTCAATCAACTTAAACAAACTGAATTATATCTTCTATAGTTGGTTTGTAAGGATTAGTTTTATTTCTACGAGTTGATCACGGATTGATATCATCAGTTAGAGAACCATTGAAAACCAGTCACAGGGAGTACTGGACAGCTGTTTCATCCACCTAGTTTGGGAATCATCGGCAGTACGCACCCACACTGTGCGGGGTTCGAACCCAGGACCTTCCGGTTACAAGGCAAGCTGGCTCGTATACCATTCAGCCACTGGAACCTGATTCAATGACCAGTCCATGAATTCTAACTCACCAAATTATATACCACTTTACAGAGGGACATAGAACTCAACCATCTGTGGTCAGAGACAACCAGCCTGCCTTTTCATATGCTTCCACTTTTAATGGATATATGCCTAACAGCAATAAAGTAGTAGGATAGATCCAACTACTTCGAAGTACTCACACACACACATCCTGTGATCGATAGCCAGCCGGATATCAAAGCGCTTGAAGAATGCAGTTAAAAGAGTTTATTATGCAGCAGAGGTACGTTGTCTCTTCACAACCATCCCTATTTTATGTTCGAGAATTAAGGATAAACTACCTAAATTTGCCTCCTCTATGTGTATCTACCAGTTTGACTGCAGCTGCGGAGCCAGCTACATTGGGCGTACAATTAGGCAGGTTCATCATCGTATTTCCGAACATCATCCAGCATGGTTAGGCAGCAAGGGACAAACAAGATCTATTCGTAGTTCTATTTTAGCACACGTTGTTGATACTGAGCATAAGGTTGGTGTTAGTACCACATTTAAAATTATCTATCGCATTACTACTAATCTTAATTTTACTCTACGAGTTCGTCTTCTGCATACAGCTTAAGCAATAGGAATCCATCTGAAGAAGCCAAACTTGTGTGTCCATAAGAAATTTGTACAGACACTTTCCTTACCGTGGCCATCGTTACATGAATGTATGAACCGGACTACTTCGCCCCCCTTCCCCTAAACATTTAAAAATTATAATTTTCCAAATTATTTTGTTTTATTTTTATTTTGACCACTTCATCTTTAAATACTTGTTATCCTTGTAAAGTTAATTTATTCTATCCATTTCTACCTTTTAAATGTGTATTGATTTTCTTCGTTAATTATCAACCCAGTGACATTTTGACACTGTTTAATTATTGTTAACAGACATATCAGTGCCACTTGATTGGTAAACTGTTGTGTATTGTAATAAAAATGCTATGGATATATATTAAAGTAGAGCCAGGGATGAGGATCTAATTGAAAAGTAAATATTTCTCCACTAAATCTTTCTAATTTTCTAAATATCATGTTTCTGTCTGCCTGTCTGTCTGTTTCCAACATAGAACTTTGCACTGATGTGCAGCAGTTCTGTTACAATAAGCCATTACCTAAGTACACGTAGGTTTGAGCTGTAGACCCCATATCAGATGGCTGTAAAACTACACTAGGAATGTCTTAATATGCAAAATGGCTTTCGTACTCATGACCATTAGTTAGAAATTGCTGGTAATGATCCGAACCTATGAATAATCAACTGAGAAGTACTCAAAATTTTTTAAAAAAAATAATAAAAATAATAATTATACAAACCTCATGACTACCCGATTCCAAATCTTCATCTTCATCCTCTTCATCATCATCGTCATCGACCTCCTCCTCATCTTCTTCTCCGTCTTGTTGTTGTTCTTCTCCTTCAGAATCCGCTAAATGACTTGTATCTGATTCAGTTTTACCCCATCGAGAAGAAGAATTACTACTGCTACTGATGATGCTGCTTTGCTTTTTATCCCGCTTCTCTGGAGTGGATGTAACACCTGATGATGATAATGATGACTTGAAAAATGATTGACGTCCATGACATGTATCATTCTGAGAAGTGATTCCTCCACCAGAACTTAATGAATGCGCTGAAGATGTATCACTTAAATGTGAAACTCTTAAAGGATCATTACTGTCCGATTTGTGTTTAGGCTTCACAGTTCTTTTAATCTTTTTCTCTGCTTCAGAGTTTGTATGCGCAACTGACAGGGATGATAACGCTTTAGGCAAGGATCCAACACCATGAGATAATGGTGATGAAGATTCATTTGGCGAAACTTCAGTAACACGTTGACCATTACTCTTTGAATTAGATCCAGTACGATCCAGTGAATGCTAGAAATATTTTTAAAGAAAAATAATAATTGAAGAGAAGAATTAAATACAAAATAAGTATTAGTGAGTACGAATAGCTCAGTGGTAACATCTCTTTGACTACAGCACTCACTGGGTGTCTGTCTGCCTGCTTTCGACATAGAACTTTCCATATATGTGCGGCTGTTCAAGTCGCCACACTCCTCCCATGTAGCACACAAAGGAAGAGAAGAAAGTAGGAGAAATGCATAATATAGTCAGTAAACAGAGGTGTGAGACAAAGGTATAGTAATAACGGAGAACAAAACAGTTTAATTGGAAATCATAAGTCACAAGGAGTGGATGCATCTGCGCCAGCCACTGAGAACGATTTTGAGCCATGTCACCAATTGTTCCCAACCATTGGTTTTTACTGTCCCGAGGACCCCAACCAGTCAGGAAGTCTACACCTTCCTACGTGGCTTAGACTAATTGTTGTGGATTTCATTGACTGATGAAGCCATGTTTTGGTTTGACCGCCGCTAGCTCTTTTCCAGCCTGGCCCTATATCAGCTAACATTGCCCAATGTCGAGGAAGGCGATGACTAGGCATACGTAGCACATGTCCTAACCATCTCAGTCGATGTAATTTCACAGTCTCATTGAATGATTTCCCCTCCAACTTACCTAGCACTCGACGCCTAACCTCAATATTGCTCACCTTATTATACCACTTCACACGGGAGATAGAACGCAAACACCTATGATCGAAGACAGCTAATCCTTTCGTGTCTTCTGCTCTCAATGGCCAGGTCTCACAGCCATAAAGGAGGACAGAGCGGACTGTTGAACAGTACACACGCCCTTTGGTCGATAGTCGGATATCACGTCTACACCAGAGACGGCGTAAACTGGCAAATGCGAACCTAGCCCTCTGTATTCGTGCTGATATTTCGTCGATCAACCCGTTGGGGCTGATGGTACTTCTCAAGTAAGTGAAGCGGTCAACGTGCTCTACCACTTTACTTCCTATTTCTAATCTAGGGGTCAGTGAAGTCCAATCATGCAGCATCATCTTACATTTTACAGGGGCGAATCGCATGCCAAACATACGAAGATTGTTGCTCAAAGTGTTCAGTAGACTCTGAATTTTGTCAGAGTCCTCGCCTAGAAGGACTATATCGTCCGCATATTCTGAGTCGACGAGATTATTCCCTGGTAGCAAGTCAATCCCTGAGTCGCTGAAGTGTGTTAGGGTTAAGTCCATTAGTACGTCTATGATGAAGTTGAATAGGAATGGGGATAATGGGCATCCTTGACGGACGCCACTAGTCGTCACCACTTCAGATGACAACTCGCCATAAGCCCTCACCTGACTGCATGAGTACGAGTAGAGTGCCTTAATCAGTGCAATGTATTTTCTCGGCATTCCCTTTATAGCCAAGCATCACCAGAGAACCTCTCGGTCGACAGAATCGAATGCCGCCTTTAGGTCAAGAAATATAGTGATTGTCGGACGCCAGTAGGAATGCCTATGTTCTGGAATCTGTCGAAGGGTGAAGATATGATCAATACACCCTCTACCTGGCCAATAAAGTAGTAGGATAGATCCGGTTACTTCTAAGTACACATACACACACACCATATGATCGATAGCCAGCCGGATATCATATTTACGTCAGACATCACGTAGATCAGCAAATGTCACACATGAACCTTTTATATCTGTGCATACTACTGAAGAGTCCCCGATAAAAACACTTGACTAATAGTAGTAGTGCCCTTTGGTATTCATCAGTGATTCTCCTCTGAAATGATTGAAATATGCGCACACACGCACTGCTATCAAACTTAGATCTATATTTATCCACAGTCATCTAATCTAGTACACATAAAAATTTTGTGATACGCATAAAAGTACGATTTTATGATTCAATTGAAAGCAAAGTATGATGCATGTAAAAAAATAAAAATATTTAAAAATATGTAAATGAATATGCCAAATTATTTGTTAGAATGCATATATATATGTAATACGTACATGTATTACCTTAATTTATCTTCTAAGCTTTTAAAAGCAAACTACAAAAATTTAACATTGTACTTCTTCTCTTCTTAAACAAGTGAAAGCAATTATTATAAAATGGTTATACAGATGATAAGATATTATACTATATAATATATTAATATATGTGTAAAACTTGAGCACTGTGGTAGTAAGTAATTCCATATTAGTTTGTTTATTAGACGTATCACTCACAGTGGGTGAAACAGTATTATTATTTACTGGATGACACAGTTTCGAACACAATTTATTGCTGTTCATAATCATATCATCAGTTATAATCACACGACTTCGAAACTTGAGTTTTATAGTTTTCTTTATTCTGTCCAATTTGTCGTCGTTGGGGTAGCAGAATTTTCCAGATGTCCGGCTAGACAAGTGTTAAATCATTCCTACTACACGTGTTGGTTTGCAGTTGATTCGATAAACAAAGCTTCTGTTATCAATCTCTCCCTATACCCTATGACATTAGATTTTAAAACTGTCATCCTATCCCATCCTATTGTATGGTTGTGTGTAATTGCATGTAGTCAGTGCTATAGCTGAACTATTCTCCAGATTTTTAATACTATTAGGGTGGTGTTTGTTTTTAAAGAATGAGGTCGCCAACCTCACCCCCAACCTTGTCTCCTTATCGGCTTAGCGAGGTTTAGGAGTGCACCAATCTGGCGATCGCACTCCGGACCACAAGCCTGGTTGGTGACGCACAAAGCCAGCTCCTCGACCGAGAATCGAACTCGAACTCGTGGAAAAAATTAACGACGGCTTGCCATTTTTATACACAGTCATAACTAGCCGACAAGATTGTCCTATAGGACAATCTGTCTACAGGAAGCCCACCTGGATGGGACAGTATCTAAATTTAAAACAAGCGATAAAGGTTAATAAAGCAGAATTTAATGAATTCATCAAATTTCGGTAGAACTCGTCAGCTGAATACTCTACATACACGGATATATATACTTTTGAAATTACATTGGGAGATATAGGACTGATAAGTAAACAAACTACATTGAATTAGTCATGCAGAAAGACAGGTGCGAATGTTTTCCAGGTCATGTTCAATTAGATAAGGGGAGAGAGAGTATGGGAGATCAAAATTAAGATAAATTGCATTACGCTTCAATTACATCACTTAGATAAACAATTAGACATTAGAGAATTCAACAAGAATTGCAACCAGAGGGATGTCAATAGTAATAGTTATAATAACAATAATAATAGTAGTATTGAAGTGAGTTAAGATAATCCTACTGATAAAGGATAGTTTTAAATGAATCAAGAATAATAAGAGGTAGAATAATAAGTAAAACGTATTACCATGGTAGATTCAGAGTCACAACCAACTCCTTTTGTACACAGAGACCTGGTTTGTTAACTCGAATTGCACAAGCCTCTGCAATTGCAAGTATTTACTTGTTCCTTTGTCTACTCATTGACAATAGTGAATGACTTGACCACGTCCATATCATGCCCGTAATCCACAAGATGCTTTGTTATTGAGGATTTTGGCACTTTCTTTCTGCATGACTAATTCAATGTAGTTTGTTTACTTATCAGTCTAACAGCTGCCAATGTAATTTCAAAAGTATATATATCCGTGTATGTAGAGTATTCAGCTGACGAGTTCTACCGAAATTTGGTGAATTCATTAAATCCTGCTTTATTAACGTTTATTGCTTGTTTTAAATGACATAAAAGTTAGTAAAGTAATTCATAAAAGAAGGAGAACAAAAAAGAACACTGGAGCTTGTTGTTTGTTGGACATATTCATCACCGCTGTCTTCTCTTTGTTCACTTAAAGTTGTGTCTTCGTTCCATGTTAGTTTGTTTATTAGAAGTATCACACAGTGAGTGAAACAGTGTTATTGTTTACTGGATGACGTTTCGAACAAAATTTATTGTTCATAATCATATCATCAATTATAATCACACGACTTTGACACTTGAGTCTTATAGTTTTCTTTGTTCTCTCCTATTTCTCGTCGTGGGGGTAGAAGAATTTTCCAGATATCTGGGACAGGTGATGAATCATCCCTATTACACGTATTTGTAGTTGATTCGATGAACAAAGCTTCCGTTATCAATCTCTCCCTATACCCTGTCACATTAGATTTTAAAATTGTCATCTTATCCCATCCTATTTTATGGTTGTGTGTAACTGCATGTAGTGCTATAGCTGAACTATTCTCCAGATTTTTTATCTTATTTGGATCAACCAATCTAGATTTTGCTAAGTTTTTATGTTCAGCTAGTCTGACTGCCCCTGTTCTGCTAGTTTGACCTATGTATTTGACCTGACAATCATTGCAGGCGGGGGTATCAGATAAACTAAATTGTTTTGTTTTAACGGCTCCACAGGCAGGATCCTTTAGCCGACAAAGCTTGTTTCTAATTGAGTTTTTGGGTTTCAATGCAACTTTTATTCCTGCATTGTTAAGAATTCTGCGTAAGGTGGTTTCCAAGGTTCCTTCCTTGTATGGAATTACTACTGATGATTTAGATTCCTTATTGTTGGTGTCGTCATTAATATTATTATTATTATCACTACCGCTACTATCATTATTTATTTTATTTTTACATTTCCTTACATATTTCCTCACTAATTTATCAGGGCAATTATTAAGTTTCAAGACTTCTCTTATTTGTCTCACTTCCTGTCTTAGATTTTCCTTGGTACTACTTAGCTTTTGTGCTCTGTTACTTAAACATTTCACCAAACCCATTTTCACTGACACCGGGTGAGATGATTGGAAATGTTTGTTTAAATGTGTGAATTTTCTGTAAACACTAGTGTTTAACTTCCAATCTTCTTTCCTTTTTACGCTACAACCTAACTTTGGAAGCTCCCCTCCAGACTTTCTAATTCATAAGTTAATTTGAATTGCATGCACCTTTGAGTTAATATGTTCGAAAAATCTATCTATATCTTGTGTTTTAAGTACAGTGAATGTGTCATCTACATACCTCCATAACA